TGAAGCCTGGCACTGTCAGGAGGATCTGGGAAGGAGGATTCAGCCTTGGCTTCACAAGCAGTCATGAGCTGTGAGGCAGGAGCCGGCTGAAAACAGGCCAGCCACAAACAACATGATCCAAACCAAGTCACGGCCACACGCGCAGTGTCTTGCAGGAGGCAGCCCAGAGGATGGATGGTGAAGGAAGCATGAGGTGCTTCTGGCAGCTGCAGAAAGCAGACAAGAAGGGAGGAAGGCAACCACAGAATCTGCAGAGAGGCATGGGGTAACGGACCCTGGCCAAGGCTCTAAGATTATTAATGGCTTTCTACACTCCCAGCATGCCTGCAAGTGCTTGATATCTCACTGCCACTCACCTGAGTAATCTGTTCACCACAGAGCATGGTGTTTTGCTCAGGGCAAGAGGCCAGCAGAGGCTACACTCTCCTAGCATCTCCCAACAGAGAGTGGGCTTGGACAGGACAGGTCTGGAGGAAGATCTCAAGAGCCAGTAGCTGTTTTCAGGAAGTCTCACAATGTGGTTTCTCATTATTTCTTACATTTTACTCTTCTCTGAACATGTTGGAAAAGAAGTTGGTTGCTTGGGCAAAATACCCCCACCAAAGTACCACTTCCTTGTAAAACATGAAGCATTTATGTGCATGTGATTAAATACCAATGAAGCGAATGGGAATTTGCTTACAAGCAAATTACAAATTCCTTACAAGCTTAAGGACTTTGCAGAACCAGGGCCTAAATCCACCAAGTCTCTGCTAACACTCCCAGCCAACAGGCACTGCTGAGTCCTGCCTTGGGAATGCATTTATTTTCCCTTTTGAGGCTATGAAACACTACATTGAAGCTTCACCTCCCCCTGCCAGCTGCCAGGAGCTGATGTGAATCCTGAGGTGAGATTGGTCTTGGGGCTGTTAGAGATAAAACTAGTTTAGGGTGTGGTTTGTTTTCCAGCAGAACCTCCCAGCTCACGTACAGAGCTGCAAAAGGTCCTCCATATACTCTAAAAGCCTCATATCAAAGAAAAAGCAAAAAGCAAAATGCTGTCTCCTGCCTTTGAGCTAAAGCCAGCCCTGACTGCAGTGGATGGAAATCTTCCTGTAAGCTTCAGTGGAGTAGGATGGTAGTAGCAGCTCACGAGTGTGGTTTTGCTCATTTAGTGCAAGTCTTTGGCTTAGACCAAAACAACAATTAACCAAAAGCTTAGTCCATTTTTCTGCTGAGCAGATCATCTGTGCTACATGAAAGATTGTAACCTCACAAAGAGAGGGCTTTCTTCTTCCAAAATCAATTTTACTTAATTTTTGTAAGGAGATAGGTTCCATATTCCATTACTTGTCTCTGAATCAGGAGTGTCCTTTTAAGTTTCAGTGGAGCAGACACAGAAAAACTCTCCCCCAGGGATAAGACAGTATTGATCTCACTCGCATTGAGCTCAGAGAACATTTAGAAGGTCTGGCAAGCAGCTAATGATGAACAATATCAAGTATATTCTTACAGATTTAGAACAAGAAACCCATTTTTTACCTCAGCTAAGAGAAAGTCCCGGTTTAGTTTTGCATCCAACGAACAAACCCGATCAAGTCCCTCCTGTTACAAGGCGTTATAGGGATTATTCTCCAGGCAGGTATGGTACCCATGTTCTCCCCTTCTCAGGGCTGGATTTTCATCTCCCATAGAGAATGACTATTGCACGTGTCCTACTTAGCGAGAGAGGCTCTGGGCAGCTGGTTATTGGGCTTTCCTGTCTGAATATAGGAGCTCAATTTAATAAGCAGCTGTTGGAAAAACAAGCAGGAAAGCAGCACAATGGGACTTGATAAGCAGCTTCCAAACAAACTCCAAGGAGGCAATTGCAAGAAAATAGCTCAGCCGTTTTGATGAGGAAGATGCACTTCAAGGTGCCAACTGTAATGCAGCTGCTTGCCCAGGCTGGGAGCTTCTAGATCAAAACATCACCACCTGATGTCCCTGATGAAGGGAAAGGGAGTCCTGGGAAGACATTCTGTGGAATAAAAAAGATGAATGCAGGAATATAAGAAAAGCTGTGCTGGATTGGACAGAGGGACTATCCTACCCAGCATCCTCTCTGTCTCACAGCTAATGGTGCGTGATAAGCCAAGGGTATGAGATGCGTACAGGGATATTTTCCCATAAACTTTCCAAGCCTGCATCTGCCTGCAACTCCAGGACTCCCTGAGCTTGAGGCCTGTATAGAAATACTGTATTAAACACACCAAGCCTAGCCAGCTACCTAGGTGAAAAATGTTCCGTATCTTTGATCATTAGTGCTTTGGTGAGAATGGAGACCAGAACTGCTCACAGTATTAAAGAGGAGAGCAAACCACAAACTTGTACAGTAGTTTTTCCTTTTTCCTTATTAACTCTTACCCCCCTATTTGATTTCTTTACTGCTGCTCAGCAATGACTTGCTGCTTTCATCAAATTTCTTGTTATAACCCAGATCCTTTTCCTGTGGGTTGACAGTTCAGAGCCCGTCACCGTGTGCATGACATTAGGAGTACTTCCTCTGAGGCTCATCACTTACATTTATCTCCACTGAATTTTGTCTGTCATTTTATCACTGAGTGTCCTGAGGTCCTTTTGCAGTTTGCTGCCATCGGCTTTTCCAAGCAGCTCAGTGTCACTAGCAACCATCGCCGCCTTCCCACCAGCCCCCACTTCCACATCATTGATGAAGATGCTGATCAACATAGCCCTCTCCACAAATCACCACCATACTCCCCTGAGCATTCTTCCGCTGTGGAGACTGCCTGTCCCTGTCTGGCCTTTGTGGTTTCAGTCCTCAAACGACTTAATTTTTCACATCTCTTCATTCTCTTCAGCAGCCTTTGATGAAGGATTTTGTCAGAGCCTTTAGGAAATCCGTATCTGTTATATCCATTAGGTCTCTGTTGTCCACCAAATCTTTGGTTCTGTCCAAGGACTGCAGTAGACTTTATGACTTACAGTTTCTTTCACCAAAAGCTGTGTTGGCTCCTCCCCAGTAGAGACATGCTTATCCTTGTTTCACTGGTTTCACAGCACCATCATTAGGCTTACTGCTCCAAATAACCTGCCCTTGCCACCTTTACCCCAAAACTGCCTCCATGATTGCCACCTCCCATTGTTCCATCACCAAGGAAATGTTAAGAGAGCACCTGTACACTGCAGTGGTTATGCTGCCATTTCCATCTTGGGTTCCTACAATACTCCTGTGCAAAAACCAGCTGGTTGTGGCAATTTGTAATTATTCCTTTTGTCACTATGATCCATGAGCTGTTTTCCTAGTACTTTGTCTTGAGATGCAGCCTCCGTTGTGTCCCTCTGCAAGAAGATATCCCAGCATTAGGAGCCTCCCAAGCTGCACCATGACCCAGATGGAACACCTCATGTATCACATCATATTAGAACATGAATTACAGTGATGTATCTGTTGCTGTGGGCTGGCATAGACACAGAGACAGGTTCTGGGAACCTCTGGCAGTTTGCAACTTCTCATGCTTCTGGGGAACAGCAAGTCCTTGGCAAGACAAGTGACTACAGAAAGGTGTCAGTGGTCTCAGAAGGGGTTATTTCAATTGTCAGACCACTGACTTGTTTCTAGGAAGGTGCAGGTTGGATTCCTTGCTGAAAGATTCATTCTTGGGATGACAGCTCAAGGGGTGGTGGTTGGTTGCTAAAGGCTAGCCTGTGAAGAGTGATTTATAAAAGCTCAGATATGAAGCTAGCCTGGTAACAGAGAACTGGGATGACTTTAAAAATCACAACCAATAAAGTGCAATACGTTTATTCTCTGGCAAGTCACACTTACGCTGTGGAGTTTATTGCTGCAGGAGACCAGGAGAGGCTAGGAAAAGAACTGGTCACAGTGAGAGGGAGGAAATCCACTTTCTGAAATTGTGGCTTTGTTGAGATAAAACATACTTTCTGGCCTTAAAATCAAAAAAAGTTCAGATTATGTTTTAATAGATTCCTCTAACGGACATATGATTCCTGAGACTCTTCTACATTTTCCTCCAGGGATGGCAGACTGCTTGTTTGGAACCTGGATTTTGGTATGAAGCTGGAGGGTTGGGACTGAAACCATACAGGATGCGTTACAACTCTATGGGTCCAATCCTGGTTTTATTTTGCAGATCGGAGCATGTGGTGGAGCTTAGGTGGGCAGAAAAAGGCAGTGTCAGGCCTGTGTTTAATCTGTCTTACACTTGCATGGATTCTATGCAAACATACATTTCTGTCTCCCTCATACAGAAGGCCACCTAGGAGTCTGGATGGCTGTGTATAACCTATCCCAGTTCTCATGTTACGTTTTGTTCCGTGCTTTGGTATCAACTCCATAAGGATGTTCTTTCTTTACTTTCCCATCATTGGCCCTTTGTTTCTCTGTATCAATTTGTACAGGCTCCGTATGAAAAACAATCCCTGTAAATCCCTTCCAGCCTTTCAGACCTTCCCATACAGTTGTTGCTGAGAAAAAAAAAAATCATACAAGATGTAAATAGCTTGACCTCCCATCCCGAAAAAAAAAGAAAAGAAAAAGCTAAAATGTTACACACTATTATCTGGAGCTTTTGATTTGCACCAAAAGCAGTAACTGCTCCCTCTGCATGAAGTCCACAGCTGTATCTTGTGCAATGAGGTTATTCCAGCGCACAGGGAAATTCAACCATGTATCAGGTTGCTGCTCTGCTTTACGTGGAACGGGACCCCTGGAAAATTGATTTCTTAAATCCGAGCTGACAAGCGGAGAACGCTGCAGCTGGGGGAACTTCGTCAGGCCGCTGGGACGGATGGAACTCGATCGTCACCGCCCGCCGCGGTGGGCGCTGCACGCTCCCCGCCCGGCTCCTGTCCCCGTGCAGGACGTGGCCAGCGGCCCCTCCGCCGCCCCGCCCGCGGCCTCCCCCGTGCGCCCGCGCCGCGCCTCCCGCACACCGGCCCCGCCGGCGCTGCCCGCGCGTCACTACAGCGGCGGGAAGGGGCGTGGCCATGGTGTGACGTCAGCGCGCGGGGCGGGGGCGCGCGGGGCTGGGCGGGGCGGCCGCGGCCCATTGTGGGCAGGGGCCGGGCGGGCTCCGGGCCGCGCAGCGCAGCGCCGCGCCGCCAAGGTACGGCTGCTCCCCGGGTGAGTGCGCTGTCCCCGGGAAGCGGCTCTGCCGCCGCTTGCCCCTTCTTCCGTCCTCGGGCTGGGGGGGGGGTTGGCGGGGGGGTTCTGGAGCTTTGCCCTTCTTCCGTGCCTTGCGGGCGCTGGCCGTTGCCGGGGGGGGTAGGGCGCGCCGGCAGCGGGGCGGGGGTCCGGGGCTTCTCCGCGCTTGGGACTGCGTTTCCCCCTCCGGTGGGGTGGGGTGGGGAGGCCGGGAGTCGAGCCCACGCTCCACCCCGGAGCGCTGCCTGGGGTGGGGGGGAGAGCGCCGGGGCCTCGCGGTGTGGCCCCCTAACCTTGCTCTGTATTCTCCCTCCCGGCATCCCGGTCCGCGGTCCTGCGGGGCCTGGCGTGCTCTGCGGCCCCGGTGTGGCTTGGACGAGGGGGGCCGGCCCGGGGCCCCGCCGTGCCCGGGCGGTGCCCGCCCTGTGGACGCCGGGCAGGGGGCGCCCACGCGCGGGCGTGGATGCGGGATGCTGCTGCTCCGCGTTCTCCATGGCAACGCCGCCCAGGGCGGCTTCGTCCCCGGCTCCTGCAGGCACGGCGGGTCCCTCCCCTGCGGCAGCTCCAAACGCGGCTTAGGCATGTGACCCCATGCTTATCCCCCCGCTCCAGGGATGGGGTGCCCCCCTCTGAGCCCTCTGAGGTCTAGGGGAGTCTCTGTCCCCCGCCCATGCCTCCTCATCAGGTACAGCCATTTGGGGCTGCCTGATGGTCTGTATGTGTGGAGCCACCGGTGCTGGTGTAAAACACCTTGCTGCGGACACACTGTGGTCCAGCCGGATGCTCTGACGTGGGAGTAGATTTCAGCACATCTCGCTGTTTGGCTATGGCTATGCCAGTGGTGGAGGACGTTTGTGGCAAAGGTACCCCCCAGTAAGCTGCCAGATGGAGTGATCTGGTCTGTCACTGGCTGCACCAGGATGGAGATTTTGGGAGGTTCTGGTTAGGGGACCTGCATGGAGGAAAGCCTGCATGCAGGCTATGGGGGTTGGCACCCGTTGCCATTGGCATGCAGTGGCTGTGGTCGGATGCTGCCTGACAGTGACTTGCTTGGCACCTGTGATCAAAGTCATCAGTGGGATTTCATCCTTGGGGTCCTCCCCACTTGCTAGTGGTCATGCTGGGTCTTGTGCTGGTGCATGTGTGAAACAGGTTTTCTGCATCTTTAAGTGATCAAGGTTAATTTAGGGCAAAAATGGATGATAATTCTCCCCTGATAAAAGCTGTTGAGCCAAGGTGGCTATGCGCTGCCAAACTGGGGGCAAGGTGCTCCCTGCAGAATTTGGAGGTGGGGGTAGATCAGAGGACACTGCTGAGCCCCCTTTGCCAGGTGCTGGTGTGAGAGGTGCCCATGGGCGTGGGCTGCCCCGGTGGTTTTGGACAGGTCTGAGCGCTGCAGACACTCGGCATTGTACAACCAGCCGGCTTCTCCCGGCTGCAGCAAGAGGGATGGCACAAGAAGGCTTTTTTAATGTATTTTTTTTCCTCTTCTCTAGAAGTCGATTCTAACACTGTATACAAAGTTGAGTGGTGATGTATATTCAGACCACCGTGGTGAACCGCGGTGCAACCTCATTATCCTTCCTTGCTGAAAACAGTATATGCCAAAGCCATCAGTGTTCTCTGCCCCTCTTTCAGTCGTCCCCGGAATAAATGGGTCCTGCAGCATCCAGACCTTTTTCTGTGGATGCTGGAGTTCATTTTGGTGTGCACTGCCCCCCAGGCCCTATGGCCCCTATGGCTTGGATATCCACCTTGCTATTCCTTCATTAATGAGTGACTTGCCTTGCTTTTCTCGTGACCGTGCACTGGGACCTGCCCCTGCTCCATTGAGAGCAGGAAGCACAAGACAAAGTCCACGATTTCCAGCTGCCTGACAACGTGTGACACCAGGACAGCAGGAAGCACTGACGTTTCTTTCCTGGCTCCGGCCAGCTCTCCACTCGTGTGTGGCTCTGCGGTGGTGCCCCTGCCACGGCCCTTGAGCTTTTGGCTCCAGCCAGCTAGGCATGTGCACCAGTCTGCATCCTGGCCTCCACCCGGGGCAGGCAAACAGGATGGGTGAGGTGTAAAATCAGCACCGAATCTGCTCCCCTGGGCTTGAAACAGAGTCAAACCAGTCTTGACCTGAGCTTGCTCCTTATCTGACCCTTTGTTTGTGGGAGGGAGCAGGAAAGGGACAGCCACAGCGGGCTGGCTCCTCCAGTCCCAGATGAGCCCTCCTGCTGAGGATGGGCAAGAGCTGGGTACAGCCGGTCTAACTGGGTCATGTTTATATCCCTTTGCTTCTGTGCTTTGTTTTGGTTTCTTCCTCCTCCTCTCCTCCACTGTCATTGTCACAGCTGAGGAACCCAGAACAGAGGAGTCATGGAGCTGTTGGGTGGCGGGGCTCCTTGCAAATATTGTTGTCTAGCTGGACAAGAGCTTGGCTTCTCTTGCTTCATCCTCCTGTTTTGCTGTTTGCATGTGTTGACCACTGGCACAGGTTCACTGCCTGAAGGTCTTTGGCTGATGCACTTATACCAGCCCACCACATGCACAGGTAGCTGCATTTATAACCTGAACTGGTTAAAACCTGGCTGGGGATGCCGGTAGATGTGCTGCCCACAGCTGGTGGTCTTCTTCTACTCCTCCTGCTGCACAGATATGCACTGAGCAGCTCCTACATGGCCACTTTTATCTCTGAAGTATTAATAAATGAAGCTTGTCTATTTATGTGAGCCTTTTTAAGAGGCTGGCGAGGCTGCCTTGAAGGCTTGCTTGGCACTACAAATATTCAGAGCTTTTTTTGTGTGTGTGTTCTAGCAGTCGATAAGCCAGGGCATCCAGCTGTCAGCTTTGGAGATTGCCAAAGCCTGCTCAGCAACATTTCTGCAGGCTTTGCTCACAAAAGAGGATTTTGTTGGACGCTTTGGTTTCTGACTTGATGCTGGTAATTAAATTTCTTAACTTGGCTTCGGAAAGCTGTCACTGCCATGGAGTGATTGGTGAGGCCATGTGGAGCAGGATGCGCTTGTTCTGCTGGAACTGAGTGTGACCTAACTATGGTTCTTCAGCATGAGTTGTTGCTTTTTTTCTTAATACTTTATTTTTTTTTTTAATATATATAAGTAAAACTTTTTTAAAAAGGGAAGAAAAATCTTGTGTTTTACTGCTGTGCTGTTAAGCTTGCATGGACCTGCTGGGACAGCTGTTTATTTGCAAGTTGTGGCAGCCAAATGCTGTAAAATTCAAATCATGTCCATATTGATTTTTTTTTTTTTCCTCCCCCTTTTAAGATGATTGTATGTCTCCTTTTTGCTCTTGCACCACAACAGACATCATTGCTGTACTGAGAAAAGAGGTGATCTGAAGAAAGGGCTGTAAATTGGGGAAGAAATATTGAATGTCTGATGCTAACTTCTGTGTTGGTTTATCTAGAGTTTAAGGCATATAGATTTACTTACCCTAAGTACTTACCATACTAGGGGATGAGACTAGTAAAGGACTGGAAAGTAGGTAAATATGCCAGTATATTGCATTAGTTCCCTCACCCTTAATGAAAATTTTAAACTTTCTACTTAATGCAAAAAAGAAAAAATAAAGGGTCCTCAGCCCCTTCCTTGCAAGATGCTGGTTGTGATCTGCTGTTTGCCTCTGATACTACTTTTCCCCCAGCGCTTCCTCAGCCTGAGCTGGACTGGGGGAAGAGCTGTGCTGGTGCCTTTTTACCTTCCTGCCCTTTCAGGAGATCATTTGCACTTGGTATCTCCTGTCCTCATGGTATGTGGTAACGTTTTGGAATATGCTGAAGAGCCAGGAGTTCTGGGGTAGTGTAAAAAATCTCAGCTCAGTGAGTCATAAAGCTTTCAAATCTTTGTGGCTACTGAGGAGAAAACCAAGGAGGTGGAGATGAGAGAAGCAGCCTGGCACACCATGAAGACCTTGTTAGTTGATTGGAGAGTTTCATGATCTGAGCCAACAGCTCTTTGTTTCATGATTGGTTAATTTGCTATAATTCAGGTGCTTGGGCCACACCAAATTAACACGTGAAGTTGTCTGAACATCTGGTCTGTGTTTTCCTCGTGGTGAAGTTGGGTGGGGTCATTCCCAAGGGCGTCCTGGCCCATGCTGCACCCAGGTCTGAAGCAACCTCTCTGCGCTCCATGTGAATCCCTCATCACCCCATCCTGTTCGTGCTACCTCCTGCATTCACCACCAGTCCTTTGCGGGCTTTTGTTGTGAATTTGCTGACTGGAAGAGGTTTGTGCTGCGTACAGCACCTGAATGAGAAGGTTGCTCCTGGCCTCTTCCTAAATCAGACAAATGGATGGTCTGGCCCAGCCTGGTGACAGTCATTGATGAGTCAGTATTATCATGACTCAGTAAACTCATGGGCTGAGTTGCCTTGAGAATATTTGTGTTCAAAACATTGTCTTGACCCACTGAAGGAGCTGTGCTGGTGGATGGGCATGTTCTCACCCACTACAGCACATGCCAGCTGGTTATCTCGGCAGTGCTGACTGGCACTAACATGTCAAACCACCTGAACAGAGTTGTTCTTGCCTTGTCTCTTCCCAGAGGACATGCCAGTTGCTTTGCTTCTGATAGTATTTTTCTCATATGTCGTTGTGGAGCTCTCTTGCTGAACTCTTCTGGACTTAGCAGTGAGGAAATATGGCAGCGTGTCCACAGTGTGGTTAGTAAGAGATGGTATGTTGCTTGTCTTTCTCAACCCAAAGAACTGAGTTCCTCGGTGCTCACCGAGCCTGGCGCATGATTGAAGAGTATTCGCCTTGCCAGACAAGTGGCTTCATGTTTCGCCTTCTGCATTCCTCTGTGTGAGCGTTGCATAGAGATGTGCTTTCAGCTACGTGCTGCTTACCTGAATCATGTCTTCTCTATGCACGCACCTTAAGCGCCTGGAAGTCAGGGCTGGCCCTCTCTCCAGGCTGCTCCACTGATGTGTGAGTGTTTCTACAAGAGGGTGAATGAAATACGTGTGGAGGGTGTGGTGGAGGAGCAGCAGGAGTGTCCGGCTCTGGCTCTCATGGTGAAGGCGACTGTTGCTGCTTTTACCACCGCTCCTGAAGGAACAGTTTTCAGAAGCTGAACCCAGTGACCCACTTCCCAAGCTCTGGATTTGGGCTGTTGCCAGGAGTTTTGCTCTGAGGCTCTTCATCCCTTCTTGCACAGGCCCTGTGTGGAAAGCTAAAACCAATGCAGCAGCAGCAGCCAAATGCCAGGAAGATAAAGAGGGGGACTCAGTTAATTCATCTAACCTGTGTCCATCCTCAGGAGAGTAGAGGAAAACACAGCATGATTGCCAGGCATTAGTTGTTCTCTGCTGCTTGTTTTTCACATGGGGCTTTCATACCAGTCTCCCCAATGACAATGAAGTAGGCTGCTGGTATATCCTGCTTCAGGGCACTGTGACAGGAGTGAGGCAATTCAAAACTGTCAGAATTGTGCCATTTGGAGGCTGATTTGGGTGGGAGAGAGTGCTGCATGAAATGCCAGCAGCTGGACTCTATAGCAATATGCAAAACTTAGCTAGGGAGCTTGGCAGCTTTTTGGGAAGGCTCTGTGGGGCATTGGTTCCTT